TTATTCACTGCGCTCCCCGAGAAGCAGCTTCTTTCCTCTTTCATAGGCTTACAACGCTAAAGGGAAACGGAGGCAAAACTGTGTCATTGTCCATTGGCTGGGCATTTGGCCTTACAATCTTTGGCTTCATTGATTTGTTAGTTCATACGCAGTGTGAGTGGGAACAGGCAGGGGAGGGGACAAGACAAAGGCAGCAAATTATTAGTTGGCAGAGGTATTTCCAGGAGGGAGCCTGGGTCGTGCAAACGTGGAGGACGTGACCCAGTGCCGGGCCCTGGCCAGTAGTGATAACATTCATTGCAATTCTTTCAAGGCTTATAGATAGCAGCAAGTCACCTGACCACAGATTCAAGTTCTTTGGTATTTTTATCTCTTTTTCACCCTCCTTCCCCTCTGGACGGGAGGGAGGAGGTGGAGGCCAGGAAGTGGGAGGAGGCAGGAATATAGCCAATATACATGTGGCAATGGGTTATGTCATCTAAAGCCACGTGCACTGCACCGCTGCATTGTGAGTGAAATCCAGGAGAACTCACTTGGACCTTGCCATCTGCTTGCAGGCACATGGTGCTTCTCAGAGTCCTTAGTCCAGGTGTGGGCTCCTCCCATCCAGAGCTGGGGGCTAGAGGTGGGCAGCTCTGAAGTGTGGGTGAACAGATGGGCGCCCCGCTCACTGTCTCTTACATGATCAAGTCTACCGCTGAACAGGAACACCAGGACGACATCAGCCCCAGCCCCTGCTCCCCTCCCACTCATGAGATTCTTATGACCCTGCCAGAAGGAATGCCGGGATGTGGGTAGTGCCTACTGTTCAGGAGTCTCCCTGGCCCTAGCCCTTTCTTTGCCAGGCAGGCTGTGGCAAGGGACCTTCCTTCCCTATGGCCATCCACACAGCTCCATCAAAACTGATTTGGGCTCCTCTGCCTTCCACAGAATCACTGTCAAGTCGGATAACGTCAGCTGCATCTTAGTCAAACAGAGTGGGCTGGGGGCTGCCTCCTGCTTGGCCCACATATGTTCCAAAGGGCACTTCTGGAGTCAGGGGTCCATTTTTTATGGTGTGCCCCCAAGAAGTGACTTTGAACTCTGGGAACTTCAGGCCCAATGAGTGGAAGAATGGTGTCCTGCAACATCAGAGGAAGATTTCTTGGAGTTGCTGACTCATAACTTCCCAATGGTGACCTTAAACAGCCCTGATTCCAGTTTTCAATAGGGTGCCAAAACCCTCCCTACAGACTTCAGTAAGAAGTCATGAAGTCTCTGCCTCCATCTGTCAAAGGGCAGGGAGCTCACTATCTCCTGCTTAGGCAGCTGGCTTGTGAATGCCTTTGTCAAACAGGATTTGGCTTGTCCTCAGTCACAGTGTGACATCAGCCTTGTCCACAAGATGAGACTGAGGTCAGGCTACATCATGCGAAGAAGGGGAGTGAGGCGGATGGAGAGGAGAGTGGAAGGTTTGAGGCCTGAAGGGCCAGGCTGTGAGGATGAGGTCTTCCTCTGGGAGGAAGGTAGGGAAGCTCCTATTACTTCCGACTGTGACATTTCTGCTGCCATCATCCACCTTTCAGGGTCCCAGTGTCAAGGATGTGGTTCTGTCCTCAGCCTATGGCTCTATGGGAGCCATAACCAGGCAGACCTGTAGGGCCAGAAACTCAGGCTGAGGGAGATGGGGAACGTACGAGGTGGGGAACGGGGTGTTCTGAGTGTCACCCAGGCTCCTGAGGTTCCAGTCCTGCCCTACCTGCCCTAGTTTCCTGCTGCAAGCTGGATCTGACTGCTGAAGGCTAGGCGATTGCTGCACAGTGCCTTTCCACCTGACCTAGCCCTGTTTTGGGAAGGTCACTTGCGTTGAACTGTGGCCTCATTCGACCTCTGGTCCTTCATAGTTATAGGCTCTTGACAGGGCCTCTGTGCTTCATCTGTATTTTAGACTACATACCCACTGGAAGAGCCTATCTCCACCAAACGATCCCTGACTTGGGTTTCCTGTCTGCTTTGGTCTGGCTGCAGCACCAGGAGCCACACTCATGAACCATCAAAACCAAAGGATTTACCCAGATCTAAAGCTCCAACACTCTTTTTTTTTTTTTAAACAGTCATTCTGTCACCCAGGCTGGAGTGCAGTGGCACTATCTTGGCTCACTGAAATCTCCGCCTCCCAGGTTCAAGTGATTCTCCTGCCTCAGCCTCCTGAGTAGCTGGGACTACAGGTGCATGCGACCAATCCTGGCTAATTTTTGTGTTTTTAGTAGAGATGGGGTTTCCCCATGTTGACCAGGCTGGCCTTGAACTCTTGGCTTCATGTGATCCTCCTGCCTCAGCCTCCCAAAGTGTTTGGATTGCAGGGGTGAACTACCACCCAGGGTCAGCTCCAACTGTTTTGACTGACTTATATTCTTTACACAAGCATTTAGGGGAGGCTGCTGAACCATCAGGCACTGTGCTCAGGGTTGAGGATACAGAGATTAATTCTAGTAAGCCAACATTTATGGATTGCTTATTATATGCCAGATTCCTTTTCATGGATTAATGGCTCAAATATCCCTGTAAGGTATTTTACATGTGGAGATATTGTGGCACAGAGAGGTTACATAATCTCCTGAATGCACACAGCTAGTAAATGATGAATTCTAGACTCTGAAGTTTTAATCACTATACTTCTGGGTTTTTGTTCCCTTAAGGATTTCGTGTGTGTGTGTTTGTGTGTTAGGGAGATGGATGGAAAAACAATGACACTACACAGCAAACATGGCTATAGCTAGAGGAATGCTGAAAGTGCTAGGGGAGGATGGAGAGGATGGGGGAAGCATAACCTTTCCTGGCGCAAGCCTCTGGGAAGCTGGAGGGGAGAACAAGGGTGCAGCTGATTCAGCTAGGGAGTTCAAGAAACAAGATTGTCAATTAACCAGTGGCCCCAGATAGCAGGATGTAGGTTCCTCCTCCCAACCCTGACCCAGGGAAAGGGCTACCACCCTGCTACCATCAAAGGCCTGGAGGCACCTTTCTGAAGCTATGGTCTCAAGAATGTACATCGTTTCCTTACCTCAGTACCAGGGCAGCCATGGGAACCTCAGGCTCCACAGGAGGGGAATGTGAGGAGGAGCAGGACAGGATGGAGAGGGAGAGCTGGCCCTTGGCCTTTGGAGCCCCAGAAGGCTTTAGGGCCACTGTGCATGCCTGAATGTGTAAGCAGCCGCCTCCCTGCGCGTTGTTCTTCAGGCCACACAGTGGGCCCTCCCTTCACTTCATCTCCCTATACTCTCGATGCACATGACACAATAGGAGAAGATGTTATTCATCAACCTGCCTATTTGATCTTGCTCTTGATGCACATGACACAATATGAGAAGATGTTATTCATCAACCTGCCTATTTGATTTTTGGGTGGTTGTTTCAAACTACTGTTTTGAGATAGTTCATTATGCAGCAACCAACAATCAAAACAAATAGCCAAGACAAATGTGATGAACGAGACTAAGGGGAAAGGAGATGGCCTTAGCCTACCAGAAACCAAAATTTACTATGAAGTTGTAGTAACGACCCATGCATTCCTAGAATGGAAAACTGGCCAAGGCAACAGAATCAAGGTGGAAGGAACAGATCCATGTATATATGGAAAGTTGATATTTGACAGAGCAGGGATTATGATTCAGGGGGAAATAAGAGAATATTTAATTATTGCGGATACAACAATCTACCCATGTGGGGAAAAACATAAAATTAGATTCCTAGCTTATGTCTTATATGAAAATAAATTCCAGGGGGTTATCAACCTAAATGTGAATAGCCAAACAATAAAATGTTTAGACAAAAATATGACTTGCTTATGACTTCAGGGGCCAGAATGATTTCTTAAGCAAGATCAGGAGCAGTGGCTCACGCTTGCAATCCCAACACTTTGGGGGGCTTGAGGCCAGGAGTTTGAGACCAGCCTGGCCAACGTGATGAAACCCCATTTCTACTAAAAATACAAAAATTAGCTGGGCATGATGATGAGCACCTGTAATTTCAGCTACTTGTGAGGCTGATGCATGAGAATCACTTGAACCCAGGAGGTGGAGGTTGCAGTGAGCTGAGATTATGCCACTGCAATCCAGCCTAGGTGAAAAAGCATAAAGGGTAAAATAATGTGACATATTTGGCTATATTAAAATTGAAAATTTTGGAAGAAAAAAGATACCATAATCAAAGTGAAAGTATGGGCCATCGACAGGGAGAGGCATTTTCAATACATAGAACTGATTAAAGATTAGTGCTCAAAATTTATGAAGAACTCACTCAACTCACTAAAGAGGACAGATCGTTTTCAACTGGCTTTTAGAGAGAAACAAATAAAACGCAGAAAATTAAAAAACCAAAAGCATGTAAATAATGTGTAACTTCACTAGTAATTAGAGGAATTCAAATCTCGCTAGATGCAATTATACAGAGATTGGTGGGGGGCTTCAAATATGCCTGTAATGATTTATTTAATATATATGTCTATACACACGCATATACACATATATAGCCAGAGAGACAGATGAGCTCACATTTTCTAATTCTAAGAGTCTATGATAATAATCATAGAAAAAACATATATAGGCCGGTGCGGTGGCTCACACCTGTAATCCCAGCACTTTGGGAGGCCAAGGTGAATGGATCATGAGGTCAGGAGATTGAGACCATCCTGGCCAACATGATGAAACCCTGACTCCACTAAAAAAAAAAAAAAAAAATTAGCTGGGCATGGTGATGGGAGCCTGAGGCTGAGGCAGGAGAATCGCTTGAACCCAGGAGGCGAAGGTTGCAGTGAGCTGAGATCGTGCCACTGCACTCCAGCCTGGTGACAGAGCAAGACTCTGTCTCAAAAAAAAAAAAAAAAAAAAAAAGTGCTCGCTTCGGCAGCACATATACTAAAATTGGAACGATACAGAGAAGATTAGCATGGCCCCTGCGCAAGGATGACACGCAAATTTGTGAAGCGTTCCATATTTAAAAAAAAAAAAAAAAAAAAAGATCTAACAAGTTTATTTGTCACTCCAATCACATGGAGGTTGGTGATGAAGCTCTGCTCCACACATCACTCAGGAACCCAAGTTTCTTCCAGCTAGTGGCTTCCTTGTCCTCTAGAATCTCAGAGGCCTCCACTGCACCCTCAATATCTGGGCAGCAAATGAGAAAAGAGAGAGAGAACATTCAATATTGCACAGGAGGCTTTATGCAACAGCCCTGGAAGTAGCAAACTTTGACTTCATTTCTTTCAGAAGCCCCTCATGTGGCCACATCTAACTGCAAGAGAGGTAGGAAGACATAGTCTAGCTGTGTGCTCAGAAGGAAATAGTTGGGTGAACAACTACTTGTCTCTTCCAATAGTCAAAATACTGTGAAATGAAAGTTCTTAACGTAAGTTCTAAATCCTTTGGGAAGCTTCCCCTGGGTATAGAAATTTGACCTGTCTTCTCTTTCCCAACTGCTACTGCTTCTCCTACCTGAGCTTCTTTCCTCTGAAAATCCTTGCTGGATTTCTCAAAATAAGCCCTGTTCCTCTCCTCTTGCCACTGTTATATGTGTAACTCATTTACAAGCTGGACTTTGTAGTGGTCTTGTCTTTCACGGAGTTTCATTCTCGGAAACTCAGGCATGCACGTGCACACACACATACCCACACACATTATCAGAGTAATCTACAACTTTATTCCCCAAGGAAACACACGAGTGTGTATTCTTTTAAAGTTCATATTTATCTTACTGGTAATACCCAGCAGCTACCGTCTCGCTCACGTCTCCCAACCAAATCTCTCCCTGAGCCAGTTTTTCCTGGCTCTTTAATCCTTTTCCCGCCCACTGATAGGTCATTAATGTCTCCATTGAAGAAGACATGTTTCCTTAGCCAAAATCAGATTTTGGTAAGTTGGGGCTGAGGTAGGTGAAAGAGTGGATCCTCCATGTCTCTGATCCCTGATATTTTATGTCTTGTGCTTTAGGAGTTGTGATATTTGAGGCTGTGGTGATGGCTTGGAGATCCAAGGCACGAGATTGACTAAAGGTGGGGTTTGTTACACAGCAGTAGCCTTGTAACACAAAAGCAGCGGATCAAGAGCTAAGGGGAGTAAGCTTACTGTAGCTGTTGAAGGATTTAGAGTCAATTCTTGGTGTTTCACAAAACATTAATTTATATATACACGTGTATATATATTATTGTGTTTTAGGTTTGGGGGTACATGTGAAGAACATGTAAGATTGTTGCATAGGTACACAGATGGCAATGAGGTTTGCTGCCTTCCTCCCCATCACCTATATCTGGCATTTCTCCCCATGTTATCCCTCCCCAGCTCCCCAGCCCCTGCTGTCCCTCTCCTAGTTCCCCCCCACAGTCCCCAGCATGGTGCCTGGCACATAGTAGGTGCTTAGTGGAATAAATGAATGTGCCCCTGGGGAGAGCTGCTCCAGGCTCTCTCACTTTATCCAATAAGAGTGAAAAGGATAACTTAGGTATAAGCCAAGTTTCTAAATAGATGCATGCACAAAGGGCTTAACTGCTGATAATTTAATCAAGGTTCTTTAAAAAATGGGTAAGGATAAGGGAACCAGCAGGGGATGGTGACGCATCCAAATGCAGAAAGCTGTTAACACCCTGGGCTTGAAAGAACAGGGAGGGAGGATTCTCTTACTGGAGCCAAGTGAGAGCTGCAGTCATGGAGGAGCTGTGGCCATAGAGGAAATCAGCCAGTGTCTGAACCACATCAAAGCATGGATGAGGTAGGGAGAAACAAACACCACAGCTTATTTCTCTTCCCACGTTCCAAGCTCCTTTCAATATCTCTTTGGCCAGACCCAGCAGTAAGCCTGGGCATAGGGTCCAGAGGGGTCAGTCTCCCAGGGACAGAGCAGGAATGAGCAAGGAAGAGCACGGGTCGGGGTGGGAGCAAGCATGAAGAACCAGCATAGTGGTCACCTATGTCAAAGGCAGAAGAAAAGCTTAAGAGATGCTGGAGCTGGGAGGAGGCCATTTAGGACTTTCTAAGGAGCATGTGCACAGAAGCAGCTGAAGGCCATGAATGAAAAGTTGTTTGGGCTGGGCATGGTGGCTCACACCTGTAATCCCAGCACTTTGCAAGGCTGAGTTGGGCAGATTGTCTGATCCCAGGAGTTGGAGAACAGCCTGAACAACATGGCAAAACCCTGTCTCTACAAAAGATACAAAGATTAGCCAGGTGTGGTGGCACATACTTGTGGTTCCAGCTACTCAGGGGGCTGAGACGTGGACAGATCACGTGATCCCAGGAGGTCAAGGCTGCAGTGAGCTGTGATGGTGCCACTACACTCCAGCCTGGGTGACAGAGCGAGACCTTGTCTCAAAAAAAAAAACAAAAACAAAACACCAAAGTCATCTGAGATAGGTAAACAAACAAACAAACAAACAGTTTTTCCTACTAAACAATTGTAGCAAACATTCAGTACAAAATATCCCACCTCTGGTCATCAAAATGGGTATGTGTTTCCCCCTCCCAACGACAAACAATTCTCCAGTGGGTACCAGGAGGGTGTCCTACAACTTGATTCAACTCTGACACTACCTACATGGAGATAGCATCAGATCCTACAGATTAAGGACTGTCCCAGAGGACTGCCACCACTTCAGATGCCAGTTGTAAATTCCGGACTGTGACCTACTCTTCTGATAATTCAGCTATAAATCAGTGGTTCCCACAATCCTATTCTCGGATTTGGTTGATTTGTTAGAGCAGCTTACAGAACTCAAGGAAACACTTTACTTAATGTTACCTGTTTATGACAAGGTATATTACAAAGGATACAGATGAGCAGCCAGATGGGAGAGATGCATAGGGCAAGGCATGTGGAACAGGGCACTGAACTTCCATGCCCTGTCTGGGCACACCACTCTCGAGGCACCTCCATCTTCTCCACAATCTGGAAGCTCTTGGAATCCTGTCTTTTGAGGTTTTTATAGAGACTTCATTACATAGACATGACTGATTCTATCATTAGCCGTTGGTGATCAACTCAACCTTCAGCCCTTCTCCACTCCCTGGAGGTCTAGGGTGGGGAAAGGAGCTGACAGTTTCAATCCTCTACTCACACGGTTGGGTCTTATGGCAACCAGCCCCCATTCTAAGGCTATTCAGGAGCTCACCAAGGATGGCTTCATTAGAATGAAAAAACACTCCTAACACCCAGGAAACTCCAAGGGATTTAGGAGCTCTATGTGAGAGTGTCCTTTTATTCAGAAAATTACAAAGATCTTAGGTGCTCTGTCAGGAACCAGGGTTAAAGACCAAATATTAACAAAGAAGCTTATCCCACAACACCTATCTACAAAGGTATTAGGAATTCTGACTCAGAAATTGGGGGCTGAGACCAAATATGAATTTCTCATTATATCACATCACAAAAGCCATCCCTAATTAAAAAAAAAAAGAAAAAGAAAAGCATGAGTCTAGCTGTGTATTAAGCTGGCAGTATAATACAGATAGGAGCACCTTCATATAGTAATGTAACTGTACATCCCTAGTGGGATAAACCCTGAAAATAAAAAGTCAAATAAAAAGAAATGTTTTTGAGACAGGGTCTTGCTTTCTTGCCCAGGCTGGAATACAGTGGTGTAATCTTGGCTTACTGCAACCTCTACCTCCCAGGCTCAATCCATCCTCCCATCTCAGCCTCCTGAGTAACTGGGACCTATGTGACACTACACCCAACTAATTTTTTTTTTTTTTGACAGAGATGGGGTTTTGCTATGTGGCTCAGGCTGGTCTTGAACTCCTGAGCTCAAGCGATCCACCTATCTCAACCTCCCGAAGTGTACTGGGAATATCATGTGAGCCACTGCGCCCAGCTAGAAGTTCAAGAAATTTTTAATACTTTTCAGTATACATATTACTAATGAGAACATTGGTGTTATTATTCTGAGACTCTTAAACCATAATGCAAGATGAAGCAAATGAGTAACTGTGTGTCAACTGAAGAGTGACAAGGTTCACAAATATGGAAAGGAGAGCTTTATTTCTCATAAAAGTCTGCAGCCCTCAGGGTGGCCATGCTGACAGGCTGCATAGGCCTGTCATAAGCCAGAACATAGACTCTGGCTAGAAGCCAAAAAACAGACACTTTGAGGGAGAGGCAGAGGGAACAGGAATGTATGTGGAGCAGGGTGGCTGAATACACATATTCAGTCAGCTATAGGAGGAGTCATGAATATTTGTGAAAGGAGAAGGAGGAACATGTGCAATTGAACTTCATGCTTTTCATGGGGACCCGTGTTCAAAGAGTGGCAGCCTCAGTATGATCTGAGCATGGGGTTTCCTGCCCCCTGACTTCAGAAGCTGAAGCAGAGGACATGAGGGCCCTTACTGAGCACTCGCCATAGACTGGCCAGAATCAGTCCCTGCTCGGTGGACTCTTAGCAGAAATGGAGGACCAGCATCAGGTATTTGTTGGTCTCTGTGGTGACGTGTTTCGAAAGGGTTGCTTTCTCTTTAGCACTCAGAGCAGAAAGGCTAATGGTGTTAGTGAGAGAGTGGGTATAACGAGGTGCGTCTAGACCCCTATCCATCGTGGCTGAGAACTCAGTTTTCAAGGTTCCTCAGGGTCCACTTGGCCAAGAAATGGTCCATTCAGTCAGTTGAGGGGCTTAGAATTTTCTTTTTAGTTCTCATATATGATATCTTAATGTTATCATTTTGGAACCCTTATGAACCAGGATTCTCAATGTGAGAGAAAAGAGATACAGATGCAAGATGGAAGCATAATGAGAGCTCTATCTGTAGTCCAGATTTTGTATTGGAAGTATCAGCATAGATTCTCAAAGAATTAATTAAAAAGAAAACATATTTAATCTCTTTGTCCACTAAAGAATCCTAGAGACAGTGGCCAACAAACTAGCAATCAACACCCAAAGTGCCCAGATTGTGGTCTGGAAATACCAGGTGTTACAAAAAAAGAAGCAGGGCTCCCTGAAAATGGCTGACCCAGGTCTAGCAAGAAATATATAAACTACGCCTGGGATATCTTCTCATCCACATGGCAAAGAGGCCATCAAAGACTACTTGGATTAGCCCAAAGAACTCAAGAACTAACTACTGGTCACAGATAGATTAATGTGGCCTGGCACAATGTCTCATGTCTGAAATCCCAGCACTTTGGGAGGCCAAGGCGGGAAGATTGCTTGAGATCAGGAGTTTGAGACCAGCTTGGGCAATATAGTGAAATCCCACCCTACCAAAAGATTTAAAAGTTAGCTGAGCATGGTGGCACCCCCCTGTAATCCTAGTTACTCAGGAAGCTGAGGCAGAAGAATGCTTGAGCTCAGGAGGTTGAGGCTGCAGTGAGCTATAATCACTCCACTGCACTCCTGCCTGAGTAAAAGAGTGAGACCTTGTCTCATAAGAAAAAAAAGAATAATCTGAAAGTCAATAACAATACTAACTATAATAGATTGTCATATATCAAACATGTCTAAATCATTCATTTATAATTATACCAAAAACGAAAATCTAGTCATAATTGAAGAGTGCTAATGAACTAGTGCATGATTTTAAAAACATGTTAATTAAAGAAAGAATAAAGCATTCCTCTTGCCTTTCTTGTACAGGCCAAATGATGAGTGAGAGTAAGTATACTTTCCTTACAGAAGTAAGCCGAATAACACATAAAAAGGAATGATCAACTTTGCAACCTCAAATGAATTAGTGGATCTCAGTGTTGAGCAAGAACAGTTGCTAGCATGACAAAAGGAGCACCCCTCCACGTCAGGTGCGGTGCCTCCTGGTGGAAGACTGTACCACCACTTATGAAGTATTTGCCAAAGAAAAAATCTGAAAAGCCTCTATAGCTAAGAATCGATTTATAGAAAATGTGGGGCACAGAGGAGAAAGCTAAACAATACTGTGGGGATGAATCAGCAAACTTCACATCACAAGAAATTCTACAGGAATCTGCTTTCTTCAACAGATATATTGCAAGGGAACATAAAGATGGAGAGGGAAACCACAAAGTAAAATAGACTGAAAAAGCTGGGCATGGTGGCTCATGCCTGGAATCCCAGCACTTTGGGAGGCTGAGGCAAGAGGATTTCCTGAGCTCAGAAGTTGAAGACCAGCCTGGGCGACATGGTGAAACCCTGTCTCTAGCAAAATACAAAAAAATAGCAGGGCATAGTGTTGGCATACCTGTAATCTCAGCTACTCAGGAGGCTGAGGCAGGAGAATCGCTTAAACCCGGGAAGTGGCGGTTGCAGTGAGCCGAGATCATGTCACTGCACTCCAGCCTGGGCAACAGAGCAAGACTCTGTCTAAAAAAAAAAAAAAACCCTAAAAACGAACAAATAACAAAAATAAAACCAAGTAAAATAAAATAGACCTAAAAGATGTATCAACCAAATGCAATGTGCAGACTTGTTCGGATGTAATTTTTTTAAGCCTGGAAAATATATATGACATTGCTGAAACAATGGGAAATTCTGTAGGTTTTACTTTCAGTTTTAAAACAGTCTCTTAGCTGAAATCATTATGGATGAAATAATATGATGTGTGGGATTTACTTCAAAATTATACATGAGACAGGGAGTGGACCAATTGAAAACTGGCCATGAGTTGATTAACTGGTTGAGGATGGCTTATTCGTAGATGGGGCTTATTATACTTGTATTTTTGTGTATATTTTAAATTCTCCACATAGTGAAAAGGTTGAAACTTATTTTTTAAAACAGAAAAAGAAGAAATGTGTGAACAAGAGAGAGTGGAGAAATCAAAGACCCTGGAAGAGAGGACCAGGTGAGAAAGCAAGTTGCAGGGGACCATCTAGAGCAGAGAGAATGGTCACCTGTGAAAAGGAAATGGACACTTGGGATGGAGGGAGGCAGGAGGATAGAAGGAAGATTTCAGGAAGAAATAGACTGAGGAGGAAGGAAAATATACTGGCTACCTTTTTTTTTTTATTATTAACAATATGCCATAGCTTTATATACCCAGATAGTGAAGGTAGGCTCAGAGAGTTAAGAAACTTGTCCAGAGCCACATAACTAATAAATAGCAGATCTGGGTTTAAGCAGAGATTTTTAAGAAGCCAAAGTCTGTGTGCTTAACCCCTACTCAGGCTTCAGTACCCACACTATTCCCTCATGGGCAGGTTGGATATCCTTCCTAACGCCAGTCAGAATCTGGAGCAGTTCTGACTGAATCAAGAGGCAGGAGAGGTTCCCTATGCTTCCACCTCAGCCCTATAATGCCTGCGATGTCTGCACCGGGTTGAGAACCTGGGTTTGTCTCATCTCCTGAGTTCTCAACCAGCCCTTCCCTTGGTGTAACATCCAGCATCACTTCAGTTGGGCCCATTAGCTGCTGCCAAACTGGCCAGCTGTCTGCCTGAGACCTAGTCCAGTGTCATAATCACACACTCACATGCACACACACTCCCCAGGAGATGGCTTGCCATGGAGAGGGGATTCATTGGGCCTGAACAGAGGCTGAGATCTTCAATTTGGAAAATATGAGGTGTTAAAATGGAAGAGTTGCCTGAGCTGAAAGTGTCACAGGATGATGGTACAAATACAAAGAGAGAGATGGGAAGAAGGGTCAAGTCTAAGCTGGATCAGAGGTGGGATAAAGGTTGGGACCTGAAGGCAGGGGTTTGGTTGCAGGAAGGTAAGATAAAGTGAAAGGAGAACACAATCAAAGACTTAACTGGGAAAGAGAAGTCTAAAGTGGCTGCTTATTGGTGAATGAAATTTGTGGGCTCTGTTGTTTGTAGTTTGGTGGCCCCAGCCGAGGGTGGAGTGAACATCACCAATCACTGCCTTAAGCCCATTTCTCAGGCAAGGCTTTGCAGGGGCTGTCCCAGGTTGGGCTGATGATAAGCCCGATAGAACTGTAGTTATTCCAGCTTTGAGAGGCCTGTTCCTATGTCAGCTGTTCCGGTCACATGCCTCCCGAGCCTAGAACAGTGGCTGGCGCTGGCCATGGTCCTGACCAACATCTAGTGCTTTCCTGGCTGCTCAGGCTGGCTGGGTGCAGGTGGGAAGATAATGGAGGATCTGATCTGAAAGAGGGTGAGAATGCTCATACTTGACAGTCTCAATTTACTCCTAGGGAGGAAGGAGAAGGGAGTGAAAGTGTGTGTTTGAGGAGAGTGATGATTTGAAACAGCTACTGTAGGGCTTACCAGGGCACCTCCAGGAGTTCTGAAGAGGATGACCAGGCAGCTGTGAGGTCTCAGCTAAAGTTAGACATCAGGAGCATGTCTTGTGTTCAGTCATGCTTCTGGTTCTGAAGCTTTCTCAGCAATGGTCACCATCACGTCTAGGAACACCAAGGCTCCATGGTTCTGTTAACACCATGCCTGGCACATGAATGAATGAACGCATCAGTGAGTGATGAAATTCAGATGTAATGACAGAAGGACATGAACTCTGTGCCCAGATGTGGGGTGGCAGGTATCTTTGAACTCAGATTTAGCAAAGGGAAAAGAAGGGTCCTGTGCTTGGGAGCGGGGTCATGCAGAAATGTTCTTATGTTCAAATATGGGGATAGAGGGAGCAGGAAAAGTAACACAAGTTAAAAGAAGAGCATCAGATGTACATGTGCTGTGAGTGATTGGTGAGGATTTTTTTGGTGCCTTTGCTTTTCCAGGGGGTTTAAAGACCTTTTCCTCAGGTGGGAAGGAGTTGGGACAAGGGGCCAACATGCAGCTTAAATGGACCAGAAAGTAAGATAAAGCCTATGGAGCTTATGAGTTCTGCTTCTCCCTGGGATACGGAAATCTAGACTCATGTAAAATCGGACCCCAAATCATGAAATATTCACATATAAATTTTTAATTTTTTCATTGCATTTTAGGTTTTGGGGTACATGTGAAGAACATGCAAGATAGTTGCATAGGTACACACGTGGCAGTGCGATTTGCTGCCTTCATCGCCTTCACCTATATATGGCATTTGTCCCCATGCTATCTCTCCCCAACTCCCCACCCCCTGCTGTCCCTCCCCTATTCTCCCCAACAGACCCCAGTGTGTAGTGCTCCCTTCCCTGTGTCCATGTGTTCTCACTGTTCAACACCCTCCTATGAGTGAGAACATGTGGTATTTCATTTCTGTTCTTGTGTCAGTTTGCTGATAATGATGGTCTCCAGGTTCATCCATGTCCCTACAAAGGACATGTACTCATCGTTTTTGATGGCTGCAATATTAATTCCATGGTGCATATGTGCCACATTTTCCCAGTCCAGTCTATCATCGATGGGCATTTGGGTTGGTTCCAGGTCTTTGCTATTGTAAACAGTGCTGCAATGAACATTCGTGTGCATGTCTTTATAATAGAATGATTTATAATCCTTTGGATATATATGCAGTAATGGGATTGCTGGGTCAAATGGGATTTCTATTTTTAGGTCCTTGAGGAATCGCCACACTGTCTTCCACAATGATTGGACTAATTTACACTCCCAACAACAGTGTAAAAGTGTTCCTTTTTCTCCACATCCTCTCCAGCATCTGTTGTCTCCAGATTTTTTAATGATCGCCATTCTAACTGGCGTGAGATGGTATCTCAATGTAGTTTTGATTTGTATTTCTCTAATGACCAGTGATGATGAGCATTTTTTCATATGTTTGTTGGCCTCATGTATGTCTTCTTTTATAAAGTGTCTGTTCATATCCTTTGCCCACTTTTGAATGGGCTTGTTTGTTTTTTTCTTGTAAATCTGTTTTAGTTCTTTGTAAATTCAGGATATCAGCCCTTTGTCAGATGGGTAAACTGCAAAAATTTTTTCCTATTCTGTTGGTTGCCAATTCACTCTAATGACTGTTTCTTTTGCCGTGCAGAAGCTGTGGAGTTTGATTAGGTCCCATTTGTCTATTTTGGTTTTTGCTGCCAATGCTTTTGGTGTTTTGGTCATGAAGTCGTTGCCTACTTCTATGTCCTGAATGGTTTTGCCTAGATTTTCTTCTAGGGTTTTTATGGTGTTAGGGCTTATGTTTAAGTCTTTAATCCATCTGGAGTTAATTTTAGTGTAAGGTGTCAGGAACGGGTCCAGTTTCTGCTTTACATAGAAATTAAAAAATATATATCCAAGATTTCTATGTTGAAAAATAGAAAACACTGATGAGAGAAATCATAGAAGAAATAAATGGGCAGCTGAACTGTGTCCATGGCTTGGGAGACTCAACAGTGTTGTCTATAAGTCAATGTAATCCCAACTGAAAGCCCAACAGGCTTTTGGGGGTGGAGAGAAGAAGATTAGAAATCCACGAGCTGATTTTAAATTTTACATGGCAAAGCAAAGTAACTAGAATAGTTAAAAACATTTTGAAGAACCACTGATTTTAAGACTTAATGTAAGTTATCAAGACAGTGTGACATTGGAGAAAGAATAGACACATAGATCAATGGAACAGAACATTCAAGAACTAGACCTACATGTCAATTCAACAAATATACTTGGGTAGTTCAATGAAGAAAAGATAGTCTTCCCAACAAACTATGTTAGTACAATTGGACATCGATATGTTAAAAAATTGCAAAGTACATATTATACCACATGCAAAAATTAATGAAAAATGAATCAGAGACCACAGTCTAAAATCTAAAACTATAAAACTTCTATTGGCAGGAGAAAATATTTGTGACTTTGAGGTAGGCAAAGTTTTTAACAGAGCAAAAAGAAAGCACAAATCATAAAAAGAAAACTCAAGGAATTGGACTTCTTCAGCAATAAAATCTACCCATTTGAAAGATGCTGCCAAGGAAATGAGAAAAAAAGTTACAGACTGGAAGAAAATATGTGCAAATCACATGTCTGATAAAGGACTGCTATCCAGAAGATATAAAAAATTTTCACAGCTCGATAATGATGATAATAATAAAGAATTAAAAACGGACAAAAGTTTTAACTAATACTTTGCTGAAGAAGGTATAGATGGCAATAAACAATAAAAAGGTCCAATATTACTACTCATTAGAAAAACACGAGTTAAAATCGAATGAGCTATCACCTTAGACCTATTAGAAAGGCTTTTAAAAACCTGACAATATTAAGTGCTGAGAAGGATGTAAAAATGGTACAGCCTCTTTGAAAAAGACTTTGGCAGCTTTTGTAGACTTAAACATACACTTACATGTGACCTAGCATTCCCATTCTCAGGATTTTATCCCAGGGAAATAGAAACATGTGTCCCCACAAAATATATGTACATGAATGTTTATAGTGGCTTTATTCATAAATGTCCCAAACTAAAAACAACCCAAATGTCCATCAGAAGGTGAATGAATACCCTCCTTGTGGTTCAACCATAGAATGAAAGATGGTTTAGCAATAAAAAGGAATCAATTCTTGAGAAGCACAACTTGATGCAAGCTGAATTTATTCTGATGAGTGAATGGAGACTGACCCAAGAAGCTACATACTGTATGATTCCATGTCTATGACATTTTAGGAAGGGCAGGAAGCTGCAGAAACTGATGCCAGATCAGCACTTGCCAGGCCTTGGACTGGAAAGCAAGAGACTAGCTAAAATGGGCACGAGGGCTCTTGCTTGAGCCGAATGAAACCTATATTGTGGTGTTGTGTTACATAGACATGGAGATTGTGATGGCTGTTGCATAGATGTATGAGTTAGTCAAATTCATACAACTAGACATCTAAACGGGGTAAATTTTTGTAAATGTAAATTATGGGCCAATAAACCTGACTTCTAGAAAAAGACCCTAGAAGAGTACCTGCAGAGTGATCTTCAGGTGGCCTCAGACTTCAGCCCCCAGGTCCTTGAAGCAAGGCTGGGCAACGCTTGGCCCTCTGGGTGGAGGCCTGTCTTCTCCTTCCTGTGAATTCCCATCTCCAAACACATTCCCTTCCTGTAAGGTAGATGCACAGTAAATATGAGTAAATAAATGAATAAAAGAACAAATAAGTGAGTGTTTGCAGGAAACTAAAGCAGACCCTGGCAATCCACAGGCCCCTGCAGGTTTCTCCAGCCTCTTCTGCTACCACTCCCAGCACAACTCAATTTCCTACCCTTGGAATTGCCTCAAGCCTCCCCCAGCCAATCCCTGATGCACTGGGCCATTTCACACCTTTGTACCTTAGCACATGTGGGTCCCCATGCTTGGATCACCCTTCATGGGAATCTGCACCTTTAGAAAAACACACCCCTACCCCCAGTACTCTGGAAAATATCCTGTCCCATCCTGTTGGATGATCAGGAGTTCAAGCATGTGTGTGCACAAAATAAATGCCAGTGTGAAAATGTGCACACAAGAGACACCCAACAGTTCCAAGAAGGCTAAACTGGGGCAGAAAATTCCAAGTGAGAGAGAAAATTCTGTCTTATGAACAGCCCATTTCCCTTTTCCCTTCTAACTAGGATAATGGTAACAGTTCATATTCATTGAATGCTGTATGTCAGGCCCTACTGGAAAGCACTTTACCTGTAGAACCCACGTGGTGTTCCTGATAACCCTTCACACTATTGTTATTCCCACTGTACGGATCAGGGAACTGAGACACAGGTGGATTTTGGATGGGTGGTTACACACCCAGAAAGTGAGGAAGCCTGGCTCCAAGCTGTATACTTAACTGCTGCCACACTACAGGAATGACAGCCCTGGGGGAAAGAATTAAGAGGGGCTGGGTGAGTGTCCTGGCTTCTATGGGCACAGCTGTTCTCCAAACCTTGCAGGCTGAAACCAGAAGATGGCGGGCATTGCGGCTGGTAGAATACAGCTGTGAGGACTGTGATTCCTGGGCTAGGCTCTGCAAGGAAACTGAGCAGTGTAGGGCCTTACAAGCCCCAGCCATCTGGGGGCCACCCTGGCTGGCACCAGAGATCTGGGAGACTCGGCCTCCTTCCGCCAGGGCTGCAATGGCCAACTCCTTCTCCCCCTCCTTTCCCACCCTGCACCGCCTCCAGACCCCAGTCCTGACTATTGCTCAATCCCCAGAAGCCCAGTTCCTGTGGGCAGTGCCTGACATGACTGATCCTCTCTTTTCTGCAGTTCAAGGGAAAGACGAGATCTTGCACAAGGCACTCTGCATCTTCCCTTGGCTGGGAAAGGGTGGCATGGAGCCTCTCCGGCTGCTCATCTTACTCTTTGTCACAGGTAGGAACCCCTCTGTGCCCTGTGATGCCTTCTTTCCTCACTTTGAGCATGTGGTTGGGGAGCAGGTGGCGGGCCCTGGGAGGAATTATGAAAGAGGTGGCAGTCCTCGGTATGCCTGAGTGTCCTATTCTGCACTCCTCCCCACTCTGTCCATATTCTTCACACCCTCCTTCCCTACCTTGTATCAAAACCCAGCCCCAGACTTCCTGCATGTGGACATGTAAGGGGCTGGTGGGCTCTGGTTGCATTGGGAGGGAAGGAGTGCTAACAGTGGCATCCCAGGCACTAGCTGGCAGTTGGGGGAAGCTTTGGGGGGTACTGGCACTGGTAATAGCCTCTGAAATTATAAGCCACTAAGTACGAGTCCCTACAGTTATAAAGGAGGAAAGAACCTTAGGACGTTCATCTGAATCTTTGGGGCACTCTCTCCTTTGCTCTGAAGGTCCTCTTGTCCTCAGCTCTTGATGGGAGGTGAGGGGCCTGGAGATTTCTGTCACTGAGTTGGGGGAAATTGACACACCAAATTTTTGTAAACAACTGTTTCTCCCCACTGAGGGAAGTGTATCTTTTGCTCCCCCAGAGCACTGGACAAACCTGAGCAAGAAGAGAGATGGTGTCAAATGAAGTCTTGCTCCTGCAGCTTCCTAGATGGGGAGGGGAGGGGAAGGTGGAGTCCTGAGGTGTGAATAGGAGGTGGTGAGGTGGGAATTGGCCACTCCTCATCTGGGCTCTCTAGTTTCTGAAGACAGGCCACCAGCTCCCCAGTGCTATCTTTTAAGCCTCTGTCACAGTAATGGTTGAAGATAGCAGGCAAGGGAGGACCGAGAGAGGAGAAGTCACAGCAGAGGGCTCTGGGGGCTTCTGCTACAGCTCCTTCCCCAGCAGTAGCCTGGTGCTCTAAGCCCGTCTCCCCTGCCCTAAGGAGGGTTTCCAAAATAGCAGTCTCATGTCTCCCCCAAAATATCTCTGAGACGGGTCCTTCCTGAAAGGGGAACAAAGCCACAGAAATAGGGAAGTTGGAAGCTAAAGGTCAGGAAAGTCGGTACCAACGTGGGTGGCTGCAGAGCAAGCAAGAGTGGCGGGGCAGGGAGTGCATGCCCAGTCAGCCCCAGGTTGAGAGGTTCTAGTCCCATATGACAGCAAAGAGGTGTGCAGAGTAGAACTGGAGGGGGTCTTAATACCAAGTGCCTCCAGAATAGGCCCAGACAGGTTCAGTTACTTCTCCAAAGAGGCCCAGCAAGCCCAATAATGAGAAAACCAAACACAGATCCCAGGTTTCCTGGTTCCCAATTTCCTACAAACACATGCCTGGGCTGTGCCACCTGCTCCCAACTTGTATAAGAACCTAAGCTCCTTCCGGGCAGAATTTTTGTCTGTTTAGGTCACTGCACAGAGCAAGTGTTCAATGCGCATTTGGTAAATGAAGAAGTGAATGAATGTCTCCTCCCCAGAGCTGTCTGGAGCCCACAACACCACAGTGTTCCAGGGTGTGGCCGGCCAGTCCCTGCAGGTGTCCTGCCCCTATGACTCCATGAAGCAATGGGGGAGGCGCAAGGCCTGGTGCCGCCAGCTGGGCGAGAAGGGCCCGTGCTATCGTGTGGTCAGCACGCACAACTTGTGGCTGCTGTCCTTCCTGAGGAGGCAGAATGGGAGCACAGTCATCACAGATGATACCCTGGGTGGCACTCTCACCATTACGCTGCAGAATCTACAACCCCACGACGCAGGCCTCTACCAGTGCCAGATCCTCCATGGCAGTGAGGCTGACACCCTCAGGAGGGTGCTGGTGGAGGTGCTGGAAGGTGAGTGGGAAGTGGCTGCCTCTCTGGCCTGCCCCTGTTCCAGGCCTCATGTTTTGGGTGTCTGTGTGCAGAATCACCCTCTGGACTCTCAGGGATCCTGGGAAAACCCATTGTGTGGGTCTCATCTCCCCACTCAGGGCTACCAAGGATAGTTGTGCAGGTTGCTCACTGCACAAGGGGGGTCAAAATCCACCACAGACTCCTTTGGCCAGGCTGTGCTTTCTGGGGCAGAGCTGCATCACCTGCAAAAAGGATACCTTTCTCTACTCTGCATTAAGGCACCCTGTGAGCCAGCCTGGCCTTGACCCTGCTTCCCCAAACAGCTTTCTCCATCTCCATCCAGTTAGCAGGTGAACATGATAGGAGGTCCCTAAGGAGGAGGAGGAGAGTAATTTATTCCCTCACCAATCAACCAACCAACCAGTGGCCCTGTCAACAAAAGTTTAGCCGCAACCTGCACCCCTAGAAAGGAACACTTGCTTGTGCCAGGCAATGTGCTTCACTTCTCTGGATCTCCATTTTCTCACCTCTGAATGGAAAGGGTGGTGTCTGTCCTGCTGCCCCACAGGGTTCCCGTGAGTTCTGGGGTCCGGGGACAGGGTGTGTCATTTGCTCTGAGCCTCCTGCTACTAAACTGTCTTGGGACCATCAGTCCAGGTGTGGGTAGGTGAGTCAGGGTGTCTCCTTCCCACACCCCTGAGCTTTGCACAGGGACCACTGTCCAGGAAGATCTGCTTGAGGCTCCAGAACACAACTGTGACCCATAGAACAAATCTGGGGCTGCAGAGGCCTTTTCTGAATCTCCTCTTTTCCAACCCCTCCCCCAGTATGGCTCTTTACCATGGAAATGAGGTCAGGAGTAGTATTCGCCTAACGTGGGGAGGCCAGGGGAGACTGCCAGCCCTAGATGCAAACCCCACCTCCACCACTTTTCTAAGGGCGGTGGGTAGTGGTGAACTCCCTTAGCCAGCTCCCAAGAGGGAGACAGAAAAATAACAATAACCCATAGCTCGTGTAGACAGCTTGACAGTTTACATAGGATATTCAAGTACATTCATGATTGCGTTTGCCCTTCTCAGCCCTTCTCATCCTTGTGTGGAAGGATGGGGGTGTTGCAGTTAATGAGCTCCAATGAGGTGCTGGACACCGCTGCACAGTGGTGCCCTCACAGAACCCTAGCAATCCTGCTATTAAGGAAGTGTTCCTAACTGCCCACTTTATAAGTGGGGAAATTGAGGCTTATGAAGCCTAATGACTTGATTCACATAGCACCAGAGCCCAGGGGACCTAACCGCATCCAGAAGGGTTCTCCCACCAAAGTTCTCCCCCTGCCTCAAGGAGGAAGGGGCTGGAGGCTCATGGCTCTGCCTCCCATAGACCCCCTGGACCACCAGGATGCTGGAGATCTCTGGGTCTCCGGGGAGTCTGAGAGCTTCGAGGATGTCCATGTGGAGCACAGCATCTCCAGGTAAAGTGATGGGTCTTTCCTAAAACTCATGGGGAGACTTTCACTCTGAAGAGCCTGACAGGGGGTGGGAGCTGGGTGTCCTGAACTACAAATTATAAGGCAACTGGAGCCTGAAGAGCCCTGAATGTGTCTTACCTAAATACCCCTCCCGCCAGCTGCTATGTGTTAGTTAGTTAGTGTGACATTATAGAAGTCTTCCTATAATGGTTTGTAAAGAGTGGCTGCTCTGAGACTCCTGAATAGCAGCTCCCACCCCTCCCCGGCAGCTCCCAGACATCCCTGTAATTAAGCAACAACGAAAGTTTTCATACTTTAGTACAAAGCGAGGACCCCCAGATCTCTGCTTCTTTGGTAGGACCAGAATCAGCTCTAACTGGTCCATGCCTGCGTACTGATATTTAAACATTGCTTATATAACCACCTAAGCACACGTGTATGTACACACACACACACACACACACACACACACACATACCGTGGTATACTACTATGTACAGAAGAAAACCACTCACTGAGGGAAGGTGATGTGTTTAAGTGCACTCAGCAAGTTAGTGGCAGAGTATGCCTAGAACTCAAGTCTCTTGACTATGGGCTCCCATAGCCCCCAAAAAGGCCTGTCCCAGGGATGGTGCTGGGTGGGGAAGTGTGCTGAGCTCCTAGAAGCTCCTGGTTTCTCCCCATTCCCTGAGAGAAGATTCTAGTCTGTAGGCCATCTCAAGGCTCCCACCTGCCCTCCTTGTCTCTCCAAGGAGCCTCTTGGAAGAAGAAATCCCCTTGCCACCCACTTCCATTCTTCTCCTCCTGGCCTGCATCTTTCTCATCAAGATTCTAGCAGCCAGCGCCCTCTGGGTTGCAGCCTGGCATGGGCAGAAGCTAAGGACACATCCACTCAGTGAACTGGACTGTGGCCATGACCCGGGGCACCAGCTCCAAACTCTGCCAGGTGAGCTTGGAGAGCACAGTCATTGAGGGTGGACTGGGCAGAAATGGGAGGTGGCAATGAGAGGGGCCGCATGAGTCCTTGAACTATTGCAGGGCTGAGAGACACGTGAAGGAAGAGGATGGGAGGAAAAGTCCAGGATAAGTCCCACCAGGGACCAGCCCAGCCTGCACACTTGCCACTTGGTCACCAGGACTCCTTGTTCTTCTGCTCTGGCAAAAGGCTATTCTGCCTGAACCCTGCTTCTCCTGGATCCTGGAAGCAAGGACAAGTTGGGGGAGACGGGAGGTGGTAAGATCACCTGACAACTTCTGGGCATTGGACATTAAACACTCATAAATAAATCCAAGACTGTCATATTTAACTGGATAGTTTTGGACTTCATAAAAGTCTCATTTTTTTCTACAGGGGTAGGAAAATAAATTTGGATGAGAAAAAGATAAGAGACCTGGCTCCTTGAGGCCCAGGACCATAGGATACCACATCCCTTCATTCTCACAGGTTCCAGTCAGCCAGTTTTTTTCTTCTTTCCTCCCCTCCCTAGATCTGATTGCCAAGTCCTGCCTCCTCCTCTGGGATTTCTCTAGCATCCAGTCTTCCTCTGCTCTCCTCCCCAGCATTCACCCTCTCTATCAGCTTCCCTTGGCT